AGACCTGACTACAAATGATTTGCCCAGTATTTTCCCAATTATTTTAACAAATTGGTGTTAGAAAAGTTAATAGGGGATTTTTTTAAGTTAGATTTGTCTTAAACCCACGGAGAAAGCAGTGCTAATGCACAGAACATGAGATCCAAAAGGATTAATACTGCAGGCCTATGTATCTCTTCAGTTATACTGGAGTAAATTACTGAGGTCAAGAGAAGTGTATTATGGGGGGCAAAAGGGCCAGAGAGTGGACACCTGTGATCTCCCAGGGCCTGAACCTGCTCTCGCTGAAGGCAATGGGAACTTCTCCCAGGAGTCAATAAAAAGTGGCCTCGATCGGCTTGGTCTCTGGCTAGTGTAGCTCCCTATGACTCTTGGTATCTCCATAAGGGGAAAAACAGGCAACACTTCTTTCGAGCACATTTTAGTCATGAAAACATTATCATCTTAAGCAATTGTAGAGTATTATTTTGGCTCTTCTGATGGGGCTTGGTGTTGTATAACCAGGTTGCAACTTTCGTTAGGATATGAACTACTCTCGGGCTAAAAACAGCTCATTCTTTCCCCAGACCTCACAGTATATCCCACCGATGTTTACTTTTATGGAAACGACGGCTGTAGTGTGTTAGTCCAACAGGCCAAAAGCAGAAACAGAGATGGCTTTCATTGCTTTCTCCCTGCTACCAGCACTTAATATATGTATCGAGCCTGTATAGACTACTCCCATAGAAGAGAGAGCAGGAAATGGCTTTAGTAGCACATACCTGCAACTGCATGCAAGGTGCAAGGTGGTAAAGAGCTGATCTGAGGGGTAAAGACATCAGGTTAGTTCTTGATCCAGAAGTGAAGATATGAATATACTTAGATGTCTTTTCTGTTTTGTCTTTTTGGTAAAAAAATCCATGAGGAGACTCCATCCCTCTCCACGAGGAGACTCCAACAGAAACCAGAGGCAGCATCCCCATTTAAGTTAATGGGAGGAGAACTATGGCTCTTAACTTGCAGAGCTGTAGGCAAGGAATTTCTTACATGGAAATAGGGTTGCTTTCTCACACCAATAGCTCTGTGTCACTGTTGTAGTCCAGATGAAGCCAGATGCTGAACTCTGGCTCAGTGCTGTCAATGCAGAGCAGCCTCCTGGGCATTGGTCTGGATTTCCAACCGGGTGACCAGAGCAGGTCGTGGAATGAACCACAGTGATTGCTGTGGACAAGTGTTCCTGCTTGAGTTTAGAAGGGAAATTTGAAAGTGCTGTGTATCGCACCAGAATTTCTATCAAAATTAAAATACTTGGCAAAGTGGATAGCCTCTGTAGAAATTTTTTTAGATATTTATGCACTTACCCTCGGATTTAAACTGATGTTAGTTTTTAAAATCCTTAAAATCCTTTGTGACATGGAACTTCCCTCCCCAGCCCAGGGCAGGCGGTGGCCCTTGCTGGGGGCCTGAGCTGGAGCAGCAATGAAGTAAAAAACAAATGAACAGAAGACAATTGTTAAGTATATTCGAAATCACTGAATGGAGATGTGTGAGACTTTCCAAAAGGTTTGCAAAGAATAGCAACTCTGTCTCCTCTCTAGCAATACTTACTGTTTTCTCACCCCTGAGATTAACATCAAAATTATTAATTGTTCAAGCTTGGCTTGATTCAGACTTTTCCTGGCTGTTTCTGTGTTTGGTTGTTCAATATTGCTATTCAGGACAGCTGATAGCCCTTCAGAATCTACTTGTTTATTCATACTTTGTTTGAAAGATGGAAACATGACATTCGAGAGCTGCTATTTACTAGAACAATGCAATTTTAAACTGTTAAAACCACAATAGCTTTTATAAATAATGGGAAGGGAGAGGTAAATGAAAAAGCTTTCATACAAAATGAAATAAAAAAATCAAAAAAGTGCACAAGAACATCAAGTGAATTGCACATGTTGCAGTAAAAAAAAAGTACAGTAACCTGGTCATGAAATATTCCTAGAACATTTCACATAAAGTCATCATCTCTGAAGGAGTCTATCTATCACACTCAGTAAAAACAAGCCACTTTACCTTGCACTAGAACTACTGATCTGCTTATAAAGCCTGGTTTGTTTGGGTTTTGGGGGATTTGTCTTTTCACAGTTACTTCTAGATAGATGCATTAAATACACATTGAATTTGTGCAGATTCAGTATTGCGCACAAAATATTGTGTCAATGACTGGAGTGGAGAGGTAGCGGGCTCCATTTCAGTGCAAATAAATGTAAAATGAGTGTGTGAAGATTTGCTGTAAGGATCAAGCAGAAATGACTTCATAACATTGTAATTACCAGATTCCCCCTCTAACAGACTCTTCTCTCCTCAGTTTCTGTGCACAGTGTGCCCTTATGCTTCCCGCAGTTGCGGTACGTTCCCATCAGACCAGTGCTCTCCAGCTCAGTGACTCTCCTGCTCAGGACAGATGGTTGAGAGCAACCAGGACATGGGTCTCCCAATAGCGATGAAGGTCTCTTGGTTGAAAGAAGAAAATGACTTTCCATATTTGCTCCACTCAAACCCAGTTTCAACTTCTCCAAGGACATAAAAAGAAATTGCAACTCGCAAGACTTTTGCGTATGTAACAATGTTGGCTCAGTGGAAATTCCCAGTTTGGGATAGCTTATGAAATCCCACCCCTGTGGTTATAAGTGCAGTTGGTGATTGTGAATCCTTCTATCAGCCAGCGGTCTCCCAGGCTGTCATTGCACACCGAACAAGCGCTTAAGTAAATGGTCTCCACCAAGCCATGTCTGTATCCATCACCCTTTATGACTGTGTTATACTCATTTAATTTCAAGGAATTTTCTTCTGATTTATATCAGTGTGAGTAAGACCCAGACCTTCACTGCTCAGCCCCATAAAGTGAGAGATGCACGAACTCCACAGCTGATTATCTCTCTCTCAAGCTATTGCTTACCAATACAGGGCCTTCACTGGTAAAACTGGTCTAAAGATTTCCTGTTCCCCATCCCTTTCCCTCCACCCAGTATTTTTCCAACCTGAAGCAATTTCCTGTTCATGCTGCAGGAGACAAGGGGGTAGATCCTAAACTGGTAGTAATGGAAGTCTCACTGGACGAAATTTCAGCAGTGGAGGAATCTCACCTGACTTTCCAAAGCTTTGCAAGAAGATCACTGTTCAGTGTGAATTGAAACTCCGTTGGTTTTTCAACTTCTTTTGCATTTGGGAAGGGGACAGCTATGGACAGAGCGCCCATAGCTGTAACCAGTTCTTCTGCTCACATCCTGTACCACAAGTGCTGAACACATTTCACACAAAACCATCACAGAATCTGAACTTCTGTGCCCAAACCTGTATGTGTGCAACACACTTTTAGTCCTGTGTTAAGGTATAAAACTCCACACAAATAAAACTTGGTGCAATGCATTTTCCCTACTTACATTTCTATCTGATTCCATGGATGGTATGCAGGCCAACAAACAAAACCAGATCTGTCAGGACTCTGGTGGGGAATCCAAACAAACCATGGTGCACAGCTCCTTTGTCACCTAAGGTAAGAATGAGTGTGCTTCTAGCATAAGATCTGCAAAGATGTAGTTCCAAATTTAGGCTATTCCATCCTTACTTAGGTGCCTAGTCAGGAATGGGGCACTCATCAAATCAGTGGTTCAGCAAGTCACACCTGTTAACTGAGCTGTAGTCACTGCCAATAACCGTTCATGGGCTCCTCGACCTCCCCAGCTGTGAAGGAATGTGACTTGTTAAAAACTTCAATAAAAGAATTTCACGGACAATTATAGCAGTTCAGCTGATAGATGGTAACTTGTTAAGCTGCCATAAATCAGTTGTGGATCTGAGCTGTAAATAGGTGACCTAATTTTCAAAGAAGCTGAGATAATAACTTTCATCAGTGTCAAAGGGAGCTAATAGATACTTCAAACTTCCAAAGTCAGGAAATTCAGGGCTAAATCCTAAGACTTTTATTCTGCCTCAGTAATATCTGACACCAAATGTGGTCCCATTGGCTTAAGTGGAACTACACCTGGCGCAAGAAACTTGGCATTGTTGAGGCACCTGAATAAGGATTTGGAAGCCTAATTCTGGCTATTAGTTTTCATAAATCTCAAAGTCTGACTTTCATAATTTTGAAGTAATCTCTCTTTTCTTCCAGTGATGGTATTGTTATAGCCACAGAGGTTCAAGGAGGTAAGAGAGGCTGGTTTTGTAGGGGCAAGATCTTCTAGTGGAGCAATAGATAAAGTTGGTTTAGTAGTGTTGCCTCTCTCCCTGTGTATCTTGCTTCTCTCCTCCACATCACTTCCTGTTCATGCTCATCTAGGGCTTTCTTCTGTTCTGACACCAGCTTCATGACAGAGTAAAACTACTGGTTACAGTGCAGCTACTACTAATTTACACACCAGAAAAAAAAAAAAAAAAAAAAAAGCCCAAAAATTCCTTTAAAAACCCCATC